CATTTCTCTTAGAGAATGTACTGTACTCTATATTATGGCCAGTAGTTTCTATGTTATATCTTATGTTAATTTTTAAGCTTTGGGAGGTGAGAGACTGTATTCATATTTCCGTGGGACACAGCACCTAGCAGAGAGGATCAAATCAGAACTTAGTAGATGTTTGCTGAATTGAATTACAACACATTGGAAAGAGGCTCCCGTAGGTGTTAGCAGAACAATCTAGCATGAATCTTGGTTTCACATTGCTAGTAGAAAATTATGAGACTTTCATACTGTACCTTTAATGCAGAACAAAGTACTACATAGTTTGCTCTGCTGTAGTCTGATGGGAATTCATTCTGTGATGTTTCCACCTTTTAAAACATAACATTTGTCAAGGCAGCATTTCAGTTTGTTGCATGTGCTAAGGCATTGCTGTTTACAGATGGTATAGGGTATCTGTCATTCAGATTGAAGGGAAAAAATTACACTCATAGAATCCCATCTGCCTTGCAGCAGGATTTAAGACTCACAATAAAATCTAATTTTATCTATCCTACACATCCAGAACAGAGAACTTTCAAAGAAAGGATTGCTAGAAATAAGTATCACTGTTAAGAATTTCAGGCTGTAAAAATAATGAAGTTTCTTGCAAACAATTTGTTTATAAACATTCTTGATATGGTTTTGGATGAAACCCATCCTTGGAAGAAAATGTGAGTTTTGAAGCCATAGCTAGTTAATAATTTGCCTGAGAGCTAATTGACCATATTTTTCTGAGTACAGATTCAGACGCCTGTCTGAAGGCTAGGGAACCATAACATGACAGTGTGAAAGCTTTTCTAAATCTACTGGGTTCTAGTGTGAGTGTGAGTGTGAGTGTGAGCAGTGCCTGACACCTGGCTCTTGTTCAACCTGAGTCTCTTGAGTAAATTAACAGTAGCCCTTCTGAGCCTGTATGTCCCTGGTTTCTAGGACCAGAAAAATAGCATTTACAGTGCCTTGTGCAGTGCCTGGCAAGTGCTAGTGGCTCTGCAAATGCCATCTAATGTTAATCATTTACTACAGTCCCCCCAAAGCCTGTTATGTTGGTAGTGACAGTAGGCTGATTGCCATGATCCTTCTGGTTGACATTTCCTTTATTTTACTTTCCATTTTTACTTGTTTGTACTCCATTTTTGTCTCTTATTTTTAGGAAAGCATGTGTGAGTAGATGCATTGCTCCTTTAAGCAGTTTATTAACCATGATGGTCTTGTTGTATACGGACAAAGTGACTTGCGTGTGAATCATGGGTTAGAACTCAAGTTCTTGTGTCGAAAATGAATAAGAACCCTAGAGAGGGGATAAGTGGACACCAGAGCGCGTTTTTGTGAAATCAAGGCTCAGTGCTTAGAATGATCATTTTTATATCCCAGGATCTGTAGTAAAAACACTTTTGATAAAATGGGGAGGCTTGTAGACACCAATTTACTTAAGCTTTTAAACTATCATTTTCTCTGTAGGAGTCATTAATGGGCCCAGTAGAATTTAAGTTCCCTGGAAGGGCAATCTATACCTCAACAATGGAGGCATAGAGTCTTGGAAAAGTAAGACCTGAAAGATCAGCGATCCATCTCCAGCTAGACCCTTGAATGTCCTCTGTGGCTAACTCATTGCAGAGTTATAGGATCTTTGAATGGTACTAGATGAGAAAGAATTTCTCTATCTATGATGGCAGTTATTTCATCTACAGTTAGCTCTGACATGTAAAACAAAGTATCTCTTCATATGGAGTATTTATAGCTTTCTCTGTTACCTTCTATTTGTCTTTTATTCTCTGAGGGGAAAAATCAAACAGCCAGCCAACCAAAGGAATACTTGATCAAATAGGTTTGGAACACTGCATACAAAGGCCATATAGTCACAGTGTGTGTAGGTAAGTGCTGGGTAATATTGCTGTGTTTAATCTTCAGTATTTCACAAATTGTCTTGGTTGTGAACCTTTATTTTCTCCAGTAACATCTGCCTAAAAACAGCTTAGGATAGTATTTGGCATATAGTAGGTGCTCAATAAATATTTGTTTAAAAAGTGAGTAATAATAAATCTGAATTTTAAAGTACACTGTATACCAAGGTGACACCTGTTGTGTCTGTATTTCTGCAAGTGACATCAAATGGAGCAACTGATTGCATGGATATACCTTCTTTCCCTCAAATCTATGACTTTCCATACCTCATAGGATTTTAAAACTTCATATTTAAAGTCTGAGCTTATTTTCTCATATGCACAACTACCTTTTTATTATAAAAGAAATATCAATGGTATTTCTGCCACTTATGTCAAGGTAATGGCAGCCTGACTATTGCTTTCTTGTCCTGTGCATATGGTAGGAGGAGTAAATTGGCAAGTGTGTTCCTTACCATTTGTTTACAATTCGTGCCCGACTGTGTTTGATTGTATAAGCATGAAATTCTTCAGCAGAGTTCATAAAGTTCAAAAATATCTCTATTAGGGTGTTGTCAGGGGTGCTTGTCAGATTGTTTGCTGTGTTACAGCCCTTAGTTTGGATTCTTGACCAGCCCTTTTTGGGCTTAACTTATCCAGGGTAAGGAGAATATATGGCTTTTCTTTGTGCTTAATTGAACTTCCCATATAGAATAGCTTGAACAGCTTCCTATGAACTGTTTATCAAGTCAACAAGGAACCTGCTGTGATATGGGCTTGATCCAACTTTTCTGAGTTAGGCTTTTTATTTCTCAGTCTCTAGCAAAACACTATTTAAAGGGTCAGTAAGAGAAACATTATAAATCATATTGTCCTTGCTTTTAGATTTTAGAGGAAACCGATGTAAATGCAGGATGGTCAGATACCAAGTAAAGTGTAGCACAGGATCACAACTTCCTATCTAGTATCCTGCTCCCTTTTCGTTTTCTAGAACAATCTCACCTTGTCCTCTAAGGCTGCTCAGTGATAACGTTACATATTTTGTTGCCTTTGCTGTGTTCTTTTTTTCTTCCTTCTTGTTTCCAAACCAAGGCTTGATAATTTCTAAAAGTCTTAGCATTATTTTAGCCTTTTTTATTTTTATGGAAATGTTATTTTTGCTGACATAATCGTATGAGACATTTTAGGAATAGAAAACACTAAGCATTTTTCTCTATCTGTGGATTTCACTTGTTCTGGGATCTCCTAGAATATGAGGGGCCTTAGTGTTTGATATACTGTCCCCACTTCTAAAATGGGGGTCAAGGGGGGAGTAGTAGGCAGCGAGTACAGAGCCACTCAGTGGCTCAGCTGACATGAAGTCCTAGCCCTGGTCCACTCTCTTGAATGCTGTCCTATTACCTGAATATCTAAATTGTCAAGTAAACAGGCATAGTTTTTATAGCTATGCACACGTCTCAATTGGTATGTGAAGAATTGAGTTGTGCATATTAGTGCTTCCAGATCTACCATCTATCAGATATAAAATTCTCCAGTTTCTCTTCAGAGGTATTTCTACTGATCAGGCGGGAGAAATTTAGGTCTCTTATTATGTAGGAATATTTCTATGTTGAATACTCTTCCACTTAAACCATAGACAACATTGCTACTTTTTTTAGGCTTGTGAGGACAGAGAGAATTCTAGTCTTCTTTTAATAATCCTTCTTCTAGGTCTCCAGGCCTAAAAATATCAGTTGGTCACATATTCGTGACTGTTTAAACTTATCCTTTTTGTGAGCAACCATAACATTGAGAGAATAATTGAAAACATCAATATGTGTTCCTTGGCCTGGGATCTTCCAGGGACCTAAACATGAATAGAAATCTGTGTATGCCTAATTATGTTTTTAAAAATCGTTTTTTATGCTCTGATCATTTATAGGTTTTAATGACTTGTACCTGATGAAAATAAATGTGTAAGTTAATTGCTTTATGTTTCAAATCTAGGGAGCTCATTCTGTAACAACGTGACTCTTTGAGAGCCTGTTTAATTCCCTTGAGAAGGACTGGGCTTGAACACCCATATCCATATAGTGCGATCCCCTAGTGGAGCACTAGGAACAGTGATCCACTACCAACCTGACACCACTGGAGCCTAGGACTTTGAAGATTCTTTTCATCAGAGACCAGGTGGAAAATATGGTCTCAGTAAGAGATGTGGAACCACAGGCATTAAAACCAGCAATCCAAAATAGCCTGGTGCGGTGACCTATTTATTTTCTTTTAAAAAGTTATCCTTGTTCATGGAACAGAGGCAGATAATGGACTTTGATTTTTGGCCCCCATAGGGTTCAGTATATTTGAACATTTCAAGTTAGTGCTTAGGATTTAGAACAGCTAAAACCATCAAACAGATTGTTTCACGCATAATGGTAAGAAATGAGTTGGCATGCTGTTTGTTGAACACCGGCTGCTATGCCAGCTATGTTACATGTCATTGGCGTAATGCTTTGTGAGATACATATTGTTATGCTAAGTTTACAGATGAGGAAACTGAGGCTCAGAGAGGCTAAGTAATTGCCTATGTTTGTACAGCTAGCAAATGCATCAAGCTGGGTTGGAATCCAGGCCTGTGTGACTCAGAAGCCCACATGGTTCCCACTAACCTTGAGTTCTTTGCAGACTTTCTTCCTGACTTGTAAAGGAATGATAATATCTCCTTCAGCGATATTATAAGGATGCAGTAAGAAAAAAAGGTCCTAGAAATTCTGATAGAAAAGCAGCATTATCAGAAGCAGAAGACAATGTGTTACAGTGTCGTCACGTGACTATCCTCCTTTCAAACAAATCCAGATGCTCTGGATTTTACACTATTTTCCTTAAGTTTCTTGTGAGCGAGAGTAGTTTGCATCTGAGATAGAGATTCTGAGATCTAGGTTGCGGGTCCCACATGATTTTCTTGCTCTGCCCACAGAGAAGAGAAAGAGGAGACCCATCGTGTGTCTGCAGAAACAGAACTGCTGGGCAGAGAGCTCTTTTGATCACAGTAAAAAAACCATGGATGTTTTGTAGTTGTGATTTAACATAGATGTTTCTTGTCTTTTTTGTTTTTCACAGAAAGAGAACTGCTATTCTGTGTGAAGGACATCAGTCATTTCTTAATGCAAAACATCGCCTTCCTCTCGGGTAAGCAAACTTTCTCACGTTTTTAGTGCAGATCAATCTATGAATTGATCACCAGAGTTAGTTTGCCATGTATTATATAGCTCTTTTTCTTTCTCTATCCATAGACATATTTAAGAAGTATTGTTTTAATAAACTAATTTATTGTATAGCTCCTTGCTTAAAAATGGGCATTTGTGGGATAGAGGTTTAAGGGTGTTTAAATATGTGATTAAGATCAATCTTATCAGTTGAGGGCATGTAACATTCAGACAAGTGTTCAAATACCCGTGAGGCAGGAATATGGCTTTCTGTCTCCCAGGTGGGTGCAGGAAGGCTGACATGCTCCACTCAAAGTAGCTTACTCGAGATTTTCCTTTGCTCCTCCACCAGAACTCTTAATTACTCAAAGGTTTATTGAAAATATCAACAAGTCATCCTACTTAAGCAGCAGGCATTTCCTTTTGTTTTGAGAGTTTCACTTTCATGATAAAGGAACTTAATTTTCTCAAATATGTGTATGTCTTTATATGGTTTTTGATACACATAATACATATTATGTACTGAAAACATGTACTAATAAAAATCATAAAATAAGTTAAGAAACTTACCACTCCACCCATTTTTAAGAGGACTGTTCAGCAGGATTAAGTGTATTCACATTTTTGTGTAGACATTGCCACTGTAAATCTTCAGAACACTTTTCATCTTGCAAACTTGAAACTGTATCTATTAATTAGTAACTCCTCATTCCATTTGATCATCCTTTTACTCTTTCGGAATGGCCATTTTCCTTCTGTCTGTGAATTTAATAATTCTAGATACCCAATATAAGGAAAATCATATAGTGTTTGTCATTTCGTGACCAGCTTATTTCACTTAGCATACTGTCTATGTTGTATCATGTGTGAGAATGGTTTTCCTTTTAAAGGCTGAATGCCCTTCCATTGTGGTATATACTGCATTTTATTTATTCATCCCTCCATTGATAGATATACTACTTGGGTTGCTTCTGCCTTTGGTTTATTATGAATGATGCTACTAGGTAACATATTTTTAAAGGCATAAGTATGGTAAGCTGTCCTGCCCCTTTTGCCCCTGGTCAGATATTTGGGAGAATTTTGCTTAAAAACAAGCGAGTTCTTTTAAAGTATTAGAGTAATTTGAATGATGCTAATGAAACATATTTATATTAAACTGAGAAAAGAGGAATTTACCATTATGTGTATCATTTTTACATAAGTACTTCTCAGCTATTGAGAATACAAGAAACTAACATTCTCTTTAATTATTTCTCCTAAAATGACATCTATGTGCTCATTTTACTAAACATTTACTTTATAGGTGATCATAATTGGATGCTTCAGTCTGCCCTTTGCTTTTTAATGATTTTAATTAGTTATAAGTGTGAATTCATGGGGCTTGATTAACAAGACTTTATTGTTTTTCTTTTCTTTCTTTCTGATACCAAGGATCGAACTCATGACCTCGTGCTTGGGAGACAGGTGCTTATGCCACTGAGCGAAATCCCTGGCCCTCTTTTCTTTATTTTAAAGACAATAAATCCCAACAAAACAAAACAGCAAAAAAGCCAGGCAAAAGCAAGCAGTAAAACTAGTACAGAACTGGGAAGCAGGATAATAGGAAAGCAACAATGCCTACCACAGATTGTTTTTAATATTTTCAGACCGTACTTGATCATGGGTAATTGAAACTTCAGTTGTGCTTCCATGTATTTTTGTCCTGTATTAAAAACAATCTTATTTTTCTTAATAAGGGCCATAATGCACAAGAATAGTGATGCAGAGCCTGGGATTATAGCTCAGGGATACAGTGGTTGCACAGCCCGTGCCATTTCCCACACTGCCAAGAAAGATCCTGTTGCGGAAGAACCATCAGGGCAACAAACCATAGAAGGACAGACTGACTGTGTGCTGCACACAGCCCTGAAGGGCATGTAGGAAAGAGCATTGTACTGGATTAGATACTGTCTGTGGTTTCAAGGCCACTTAGGATCTTGGAACGTATGCTTCAAGGATAAATGTGGACTACTCTTCTGTCTTAGGAAAGTTAGTGGAATGTTAGGTTCACTTTTACAATTTGTAGACAATGACTTACACTTGTCATTGTCTCCTGGGCAATTGCCTAACATGCAGGAGGCCCTAGCATCCTCAGCACCAACAAAAGACAAAACAAAGCAAAGCAACATGAACCACACACTCAATGCAAAACACCAGAAGACACTAATAATTTTTGGGTGGAGGGTGTGCTGGGGATGGAAGCCAGGGTCTCTTTGGATGCTAGTCAGTGCTTTGGCACTGAGCCATGCCCCTGGCCCTCAGTGTTTCCAAGCTATGTTAGGAATAGAACCATTCTTAGGGCTTCCTGCCCTGATCCAGAGGTCTCCAGTGCTTTCCTCAGGTGCTTTTTGTACTTGTGTTTGCATTGCTTCTGTTTATGGTTTCTTTTGAAAAAAACATTCCCAATGGAGAACAGCAATGAAAACTTTCTGATTTAGAATATAGGTAGCTCTTTTGTTCCTTTTTCAGGAATTTACTATCTAGTACAGTACTTATAGGTGCTCAGTGGTAACAATAGTTTATAGATTAGTCTGATAATTGGCTCTTAGAGAAATGGTAAGTCCTTTGATAGGTGTAGTTTGCCTAAGTGATAGATGGTTCTGTCTTTAACTAGAATGCTTAATCAGCTTGTTGAGCAAATGCATAGTATATACAGATACATATTAAATTACATAGTATTTATATATTTAGCTTTATAGAGATCCTTTATTGAATGATTTGGTAAGTTTCTTGGTTCAGAGTTGCACAGTTTCTCTTTTGAATTTGTTGAAGAGTCAAGTGGATGCCATCATTTTCAATGATTATCTTTACTCTGCTCTTTAGTTTTAGAATATCATATACTGAAAATTAATCATTTGAGTTAATTTTTGCCTAGATTCAAAGGTAATTTGAGAATGAAGACTATTCTTCAAAATTTTTCTTAATAAAGATGAAGGGAAATGATTAATTTGATTTTTTCCATGTGAACTAAGCAAAAATATGTATTCTATTTTTATTGGCTGGAGTGCCCTATAGATGTTGAATAAGCCATGTTGGTTGGTTGAACATTTGTTCAGGTACACAACAGCCTGTTTTTTTCTAAATCCATTTTATTTCAAGGATAAAAAGTAAGAAAAGAAGAAGATGAAGGAAAAGCTACAATACAATTTCAAAACACGTCAATCAGGGGCATCGATGGTACATAAATTTTTCATTGTCATCCCCAGATCATTCACCCAGAGCATAAGACAGCTGCATTCAATTGTCTGAACAATACCACCCCAAATCTTTCTCTTCAGCAAACTCAGAGAAATCAGTAGAATAACTATCTTAACTATTTTTATATACATACATATATACATGTTTTTCTTTTAGTTTCTCACGCTAATGAAACAATACGATGTTTACACATGTGTGTCTTATTTATTTCACTGCAGGGTATGTTCTCAGGTTGCATCCATTTACCTATAAAAGTTTATCCTTCTTTATAGCTGAGTGGTGTGTGTTGGATAAAAATACCACCTCTTTTTTATCCATTCCTCAGTCAATGGGCATTTAGGTTGTTTCCAAGAGCTAACTATTACAAACTGTGCTGCTATAAACATGGATGTACGTATATTGCTGTGTATGATGTTTTTAATTCTTTGGGAAGATACCCAGAAGGGAAATAGCTGGGCTGAATGGGACCTCCAACCCTAGTTTTTTGATGAATCTCCACAGTGGTTGCACCACTCTACACTCCCACCAACAGTGGAGAACTGTTCCTTTTCCCCCACAGCCCTTCCAGCATTGGTTATTGCTTGATTTCTTGATGGCATCCATTCTTTCTGGGGTGAGATGGTATCTCAGTGTTGTTTTAATTTACATCTTTTGAATAATGAGTGATGTTGAACATTTTTTCATATATTTATTTGCTGTTTGCATTTCTTCATCTGAGAAGTGTGTGTTCATCTCAGATGCCCATTTTAGAATTGCATCTTTAAATCTGGGAGGACTGATTTTTTTGAGTTCTTTATATGTTCTTGATAGTAATCCGTTGTCTGAGGAACAGCTGGCAAACATTTTCTCCCATGTTGTGGGTTGTCTCTTCATTGTGTTGGTAGTCTTTCTTGCTGTGCCAAAGCTTTTCAGTAGGGTGAGATCCCAGTTATTGATTCTTTGTGATAGTTCCTGTGCATTTGGGGTTTTTGTTCATAAAGTCTTTGCCTACACCAATGTCTTCAAGGTTTTACCTACCCTATCTTCCAGCAGATTTAATGTTTCTGTTTTAATATTAAGATATTTGATCCATGCTGACTTTAGTTTAATATGTGGTGAAAGATATGAGTCCAGTTTTATTCTTCAGCATGTGTGGAGCTAGTTTTTCCTGCATCATTCATTAAAGAGGCTATCTTTCTTTCAGTGAATGTGTTTGGCACCTTTGTCAAATAAGGTAGCTTAATGTGTCTGGAGTTGTTTCTGCATCTTTTAATTTGTTCCATTGATCTTTCGGTCTGTTTTTTTTTTTTTTTTTTTTTTTTTTGCTAGTTCCACACTGTTTTTATCACAGTAGCTTTATAGTATAATTTCAAGTCAGGGATTGTGATGCCCTGTGTCTTGTCTTTGTTGCCCACGATTGCCAGTACTATTCTGGGTCTCTTTTAGTTCCAGATAAATTTTAGGATTGTTTTCTCTGATTCTATGAGGTATGCTATGGAAATTTTGATTGGGATTGCATTGAATCTGTATAACAGTTTTGGAAGTATGGTCATTTTTATTATATTGGTTATTCTTACCCATGAGCACAGGATATCTCTCCATTTTCACAATATTCTTACAAAATTTTTGTCTTCGTATCTTTTCAATTATTGACAGATGGGTGATGAAATTTCTGACTAAAATTGTGGATTTGTCTTTCTCCTAACAGCTCCATTGGTTTTTGCTTCATGTATTTTGAAGCTCTGTTATTATATTCACAAACATTTAGGATCATTCCCCTAAATGAACTTCTTACTATCTAGTCATATTCTTGGCTCTGAAATCTACTTTATCTAAATTTAAACATCTTTTTTAAAATCAGTATTAGCATGGTATATCTTTTTCCATCCTTTGGCTTTTAGTATATTTATACTTTTATATTTAAAATTTGCTTTCCTGTAGGCAGCATATGGTTGGCTCTTTGTTTTTTGTTTAATTTGGTTTCATGATGTTACTTCTAAATACAATGTCTAGATTATTTACATTAATATGATTAATCATAAGGTTAGATTTAAGTCTACCATGTTGGTGTTGTTTTCTCTTTCTCTCATTTGTTCTTGGTCTTTCTCCATTTTTACCTTTTTTTTTTTTTTTTTTTTTTTGGTATCAGGAATCAAAGTCAGGACCTTGTGCTTGCCAGGCGGGCACTGTGCCACTGAACCATATCTTTGGCCCATTTCTTCCTTCTTTTGGATTATTTTTTGTCATTCTATTTTAACTCCTTTACATTTGTCATATTTTTGTTACTCACTGAATTTTAAAAACCTTTATATAGTCACTTAAAAGCAGCCAAATAAGAATTATAACTAAATCTATCAAAAGTTTCTATTACTGAGCTCAATTCAAAAACCACCCTGTAACCTTTTTTTGGTACTGGGGATTGAACTCATGACCTTGTACTTAACAGGCAAGCACTTGAGTCACTGAGTTAAATCTCTGGCCTATCTCCTATAATTTTTCCTAACATAATTTTTCAAATTCCATTTGGCACTTAATGTTATTGAGTACCTGCTCTCTATGCAGATATTAGGCCAGCTGCCTAAACACATGTTTGCACTTAGGTGGTTTTCATCAATGTGTCTCATCTTCCAGGCTGGGTAGACCTACAGTTCTAGGTGGGGGGGACAGATGGCAAGATCGCAATTTACCCCAAAATGAAAGGTCAGGATTATTTATTACTGATTAATTCCAGCAATACTCGTCCCTGCTCTAGAGCTCTGTGGGCATGAGCTCAGGGAACCCTCACCTACCCCTGGATCCATGCAACTGCTCCAGCTGTGTGGTGCCAGGGCCTGAGAGGTGGGGCCTGGGGCGGCCTTAATTCCCTCTCCCTCCTGTATATCTGAGCCCTGTCCAGGTAACACATTGAATTTTAACCCTTAGAGAATTTGTGATCTATGTGTTGAACTAAAAATCCCCTATCCCACTGCTGCTATAATTTCTTCTGTTGTTTCTTTCATAAATATGTTAGATCCTCATCTATTTCCTATAGATCATACCATGTAGTGTTTCATGATCATCATGACTTTATGAGACTGATTTTTATCCAGTTTTCTACTTGTTGTCAAGCTATCAATCAGACATTTAGAATTTAGACTCATGGTTATTTCCGAGTTTCCCTTAGCTGTCCAACTTGGGCAGCCAGCTTTTCTTCACCCATGTTTATTATACGTATTTCATGAAATCTGCCAGTGTTTAAAGTGCGAGGAGCTTGGTGGATTTGGTTTAGGTAGAAATCGTCATCCTTAAAGAAGCTTTATTGACGCTAGTCTTTCAAAGTGAAACATCCTTCCTTATGTTGTTGTCGTATAAATTGATTTGGTTGATTTGTTTTACTGTTTTAGGAGGCCGGGGAAAGGACAATGCCTGGATTATTACATTTCCAGAAAACTGCAACTTCAAATGTATACCAGAAGAAGTAATAGCAAAAGTGCTCACTTATCTGACATCTATTGTGCGGTATAGTATTTTACTACATAGTTTGAATTTGCTTTATATTAAATGTTCATTTGAATGTAGTAACAGAAAAATGGTGGAATATAGCTATTATTATCAGCTAATTAATTATATTAATATGAATTCTAAATTGATATTAGAATTATTTGGAACTAAAATCTCTTTAAAGTGGAAAGTTTAAAAAACTGCATTAGAGTTTTTTATGCTGAAGACAGTTTTTTTTGTCTTTTTGAGACGGTTTCTTTTTTTAAATTTTATTTAAAGAAAACAAAACAAAACAATAAAAGGGTACAAGTAATAAAGAATTTCAAAAAAAATAAACAGTAAGAAATCACTAGTTAATAGATTACATATTGTCATCTTAGAAAGAGTTGTTCAAATTACAAAATTAAAGCATACAAAATGGACATTCAAACAGTGAGACTGCAAACAGTTGTGTTCAGTGATCCAACAAAAACTCAGTAATATGGTCATCTGTCTTACACACCTAAACACACTTGCAGTTGTGTCCTTTAGAGCACTTTCTTTTCCTCTCTTTTTTATAATAACATTTACACATTTTGGGTTTTATTACTCCTACAGTTCTTATTACTTTTTGAGATAGGGTTTCACTATGCAGTTCAGGCTGGCCTGGCCTCAAACTCACTTTGCACTTGAATTCCTTTTGTAGCCGAAACTAGCCTTAAACTCCCAGCAGTCCTCTTACCTCAGCCTCCTGAGTGCTGAAGACAAAGTGTTTAAAGGGAGCATCTTCCAGTTACCTGGAAGAATAAGAAAAGGAATCTAGGGTGGTGACACTTGAAGAGCCTCATGAACTAAAATCAAGTCTTGGAAGAGTGAATTTATAACATACTTGTTGAAGCTGAAAGGTGATCTTTGTAGAACAAATAAAAGTTACATTATCCATTAAACTCACTTTCCTCAAGGAACAGACTTGAGATACAAACATGTATTTAACAATAGTTTTCTGAGTGAATTGATTCTTAGCTTTTGATGAATTACCATGAAAAGTTAGATATGGCATTATGAAGGATAGCAATCTTTGGGTTTCCCATGGCCAAGACTTCAATATTCTAACTCCATTTTAGCAAGACATGTTCATTACATCATCCCTTTCCTATTTAAATATTGGCAGTAGTGCTGAACATAAAAATTTTAGAGTGTAGAGGAACAGAGAATAAAATTGGTTTTTAAAGATAGCACTTGTAATAGATTTTCAAATCTAACTCTGTCTTTAAATACCAAGTGAGAATGAAATATTCAAAAATAAAGACCTACGTAGCAGATTTGGGTTATTATTAACAGAAAATTATTATTTTCCCTTACCTTACAGGCAAAATGCATCTGACTGTCAGTTTACACTTATTCTGGATCGAAGATTGGATACGTGGTCCTCTCTCAAAATCTCTCTACAGAAAATCTCAGTGAGTACCTATGCACTCTGTAGTAATTACTTTTGTTTTACATTATACTTTTTGTTTTGGGGGTATGGATTATTTGGATATTGATGGAGATAGTAAAAAAACATGAGCTAATAAGAGAAAATACAAAGAAGGTTTTGTGGAGTGGACTGTGGCCAGCAGCTCCCCAAATGTCAAACTGAATTTGAAGGAACAGATAGTTAGTGGGTCAGGTTAGGAATGAGCAAAGTCTCATGGTTCTGTATGTCTTTCAGAGCAAGGCAAATTTTTGTAGGATTTTAAAAAAAAATGAAAACGTCCATGTCATATACTCATGGTATGCAGAAAAATATAAAGAAGAAAATTTAAAACAATTAGTAATCCACTTGTATCTGGTAACCTAAGCAACCATTTTGAAGATTACAATATGCAATGTAACAACCATTATTAAATTCCTGACATCTTGGTTTGAAATCCTGTATCACTATTTTTGTTATGTAGTTGTTGTTTTGCTTTTGTTATTGTTTTTGTTTGCTTTTTGTATTTTTTTTCTCTCTAAGAAACAATAGTAATCTAACCACCCACAAATAAGCACATTGTAACACTTTGGCTGGTGTACATCTTTCTACACTTGTTTATTTCCTAGGAAAAGGTAGAAAAGTAAGTCACCTATGAAATGATGTATCTCCCATACTGGAATCTTGTTCCCTTGCTTCCCAAGCTAGACACAGAGACAGAGGCAGAGGCAGAGGCAGCCAGAGAAAGTAACAGTGTTGCTAAAAATAGTAACATGAGAAATTCAGTTGTGTCCACAGTCAAGATGGTTTTTACCCTATTAGGCTGTCAGGATGCAGTCACATTGTTCAACACAATCAGGTGTGGTGCATCCTTGGAATCCCAGCAGTCTGGGAGGCTGAGACAAGAAGATCTCAAATTCTAGCCCGGTTTTGGCAATTTAATGACCTGATAAAACTATCTTAAAATAAAAGAACACTCTGGGGATATAGTTCAGTACACAGTACCTAGGTTCAATTTCCCAATAACCCCTCCTCTCCAAAATGAGAGAGAGGAGGCGCTCACAGCCTCCCTCTGAGCTGACAGGATTGGAGTTGTGTGTGGAAATTTCACGTGGCCCACTTCTTTTATCAGACCAAAGTTGCAGGGAATCAATATGATTTTTTTCTTTGAAGTTCCAACATCATCAACCACTTGAAATTTTTTCTTTGTATTTAACATTTTTCTTGTTTCAATAACTATGTTCTAAAATCAGAGAACTCAGCAATGTATGATCCAGTGGGGAGTTAAATTTTTAACTGATCCATAAAAACTTAAAAATTATACCTATTTGGGGAGTACTACATAACGTTTGGATACATGTATACATCATATATAGGAATATAGAAATATTTCCTCAAAGATTTATCTTTTATTTTCAGTGAAAACACTCCAAAGATTTTCTTGTAGTTTTGTTCATTCTTCGTTTTTTATTTCTTGGTACACATTTGCAGTCCATACTGAATACATTTATTGTGGGGAGTTTGCAAATGTACAAATGCATCTGCATTCTGTTTTCAGTTCTCTGTTTAAATTCATTTCCCCTTCCATCTCCCTCCATCTCTCATTCACATTTGACAAAATATCACTCGAATATCTCCTATCTTTTATTTTGCTCTGTATTTATATTTTGAAAGAGGCAGTACATTATGGTTACTTAGAGTCACCCCGCCATGCAGCAGCACGGCACAGCTTCCCACTATCATCAGAAAGCACCTGCCCCCAGGACTAGAACTCACATGGTAAGATGAATGAGACCATTATCCATATCCAGTGTGAGTTTCCTCATCTTGAGTGTTAGCAAAGTGGTGTTTCTTATTTATTTGTTTAAAAAATCTGTTTAACTATAAACAACAAAAAAGATTACTAGAGCCCAACATGTTACTAAAATAAGATGGAAAATTTTTCCTTTGTATATTTTTGCTTTTTCAAAAGCATTTGCATTTACTAACTAGTGCTGATTCTCCTCAGCTCCTACTTAAGTACTGTACGTAGCTATCACTAAAATTACCCCATGGATGAGGAAATTAAATTTATATTTGCACTTTGGGAAGGTTATGCGATGAATCAAAAGTTAAATAGTCAAGAAACCAAATGATCCAGAGCAAAAATTAGAATTTCATAAATTCCTTTTGGTGCCCTTTCTACCTGCTATTTTCTATCATTTTCCAAATGGCCTATGGGTGCAGAACTAAGTTCAATGCTTTTTAGCAAAAGCTAGACTTTCTTTGGAGTGATTAAATCTGTCTTTCATAGATTATTGAACCCTTTTATTGGGGTGAAATGAAAGTATTCCCCTTGTGGCTTTTTAGGTTGGTCTTTGGGTTTGTTGAATTTATTTTGGTTTATGCCAATAATTAATACTTTTCTATTAAATAGAGCACTTCTTGCAAGAAAACATTTTTTACTTCCTAGCTTTTATACCTTTGGGCAGCACTGACCAGCCTGATTAAACTAATTTTCATTGTCTGAGTAATCAGCACATGGTGCTAGTCCTTTGGCATCAGTGTTTTTGGTATCAAGTTTTGTAGCTATTAATCAAATAATTTACTTGGAGCAGAGGTCTTTTTTTCCATAACAGAGGCATGTAAGAATAGGTCTCTGATCTTACCTATTAAAGGTCAATAGAGGAGCAATGATTCTATTCTTGGGCAGGGCTGCTCCCCTTCCTGTGTACCTAGGGATGGTGAGATTTCACTGTATGCACGGTAAAGAGCTCAGAACTTAAAGTCCTTTTCTTTTCTTTTCTTTTCTTTTCTTTTCTGCCAAACCAGTGGCACTGGTCAAGCATAGGGGATTCTTGTGACATGTAACTGGCTATAGATTGTTTAGCTGTGTGTCTTTTGAATATTTTAAATATATCTGTTTTTGATATAATTTCTCTGCACATACTCAACAGCACATTAATTACATATCAGCCATCAATACCTTTGGTCCCTTAAATAAAGGTAAATACTGGAGTAATGTCAAGAGCAAAAGTTGGCATTCAGAAAGGGTTTCTGGTGAAAGGTACCATGTGTAGACAGGTAACTCTGGTGTATTTCTTTAAATGAGTGTCCATGAATTAACCATATAATTCAGTGTGAAGATCTGAACTTAGGATTCCAAACTAAGTGAAAGCAGTTAGGTTATGCTTCATAACTAATGAGAGGACATATTTTAAAAATGATTATTGATTTGACTCATAATTGTACATACTAATGAGACACCATGTGATATTTTGATTTATATATACATTGTGTAGTGATCAAATCAGGGTAATTAACATTATGTCATCTTAAACATTTATTATTTTTTGTGGTGGGAACATTCAAAATTCTGTCTTAAAGTTATTTAGCGGAAAGTTGATTTGGGAAAAGATCTTGTCCATCTTAGAAAATATATGCATTCTTTGTAGATTATTATCAGGACCAAATAAACTGTAACGTTTTCTAATGCTTCAATCCAGAAGACAATTTAACAAAAAGGAATAGCGTGCAGAACTGAAGTGGAACTTACAGATGCAGAGAGGACAGGGCCAAAGGGATCAGCTAATACTACCTTCACAAAGATTCCTAACATTCCACCTTAAAAATCCAGTTGCGCAGAAGAGAAAGCCAGTCCCATCCACACTGCCCGGAGGAGAGTGGGTTTTTCCTTCCTCCACTCCCAGAACTGCCTGATTCTCTTGGGCTGCCCAGTGCAAGCTAATCCACAAGGTTCAATCAAGCTAAGTAATTGGGGAAACGTGTCAGCTGCGAATTACCATGAGCAGCAGGGAAGGATCTGTCAGCTGACTAATCAGGGATAGTGGTTTTTTTTTTTTTTTCTAGCGTTGCCACGGTGTTGATGGAAGCCGCTAAGGTAGCTTTGTTTGATAGAGATTTTTGGATGCCGTTTTTAAAAAAAAAAATCCTCCCCCAAGAAGCAGCTCATATTTCATCAATGTTGCATTGACAATTGGAGAAGAAGAGTGTAATTGTGTATAGGCGAGATGGCAGAAGCAAATCCCCCGAGAGGCAAGATGAGGTTCAGAAGGAATGCGGTAAGGGCTCTGCCTGCAGTCCTGGAAAGCCTGTTCCCAAGTTCAAGTGCAGAGATGCTGCAGCAGGGTGCTGTGGCCCAAAGTGCTGAGTGGGGCTTTTAAGGACAAACGGAGAGGACGGAGTCTTGTGTTTGCATGGGTTGCATTGATGTGATTACTGTGAAACCGGACATAGGGCGATTGAAAGAAGTGGAGGAGGGAAAAAATATCATTTCAAAATCGAAATGCCATCAGGTTTATGGAAGAGCATTGTTAATTATGTCATTTTCTTAAAAATATGTTAGCAATTTGGAATCATTTGGTAGCATAGCTTTAAATAATGACTTAAAATAATATCTAACAAAAGAATTTACCCTTTCTTTGCCCATGGTCAAGTATAGTATGAGATCGTGGATAGGGCTGGAGGCAATTTCATCAGCACTTACGCAGGCAGCTCTCCTTGGCTGTTACTATATAAGTGAAAAATTTGAAAGTAATGATTTTCAATCATTATGGATTCAATTCTTGATCAAGCATAAACTTTAATTTAAAAGATACAAAATTCTAGCCTATTGACAACTTTTTCTTTTAAGGGAAAGGAAAGTGACTCACTTTTTAATATGGGCTAGAATTTGGAAATTCCTCCTCTCAGATACATTTCAAACACTTCTACAAAAATGTTCCCATCATTCATTCATTCATGTATTAAGTTACTCAGAAAACTGCTAACATGATTTTCAGAGCTATTTTGGGAAATGTTAAAATAACACTAGCTAATATAACAGCAAACTTATCAGTAAGATTTTAAATGCCACTCTTTTTCTTTCAAAATTTAAGATGCTAATGATGTTACAGCTTAATGAAAACTTGCTCACTATAAAAAGTTAGGTTAAAATTGGCCATACTGAAAGGTAACATATTAAGTCAAAAGTAAGATAAGGAAATTAAAATTTCACTGTTGTTGAAT